AACTACACAGACAGGCCAGGGAGAAATAAACTAAATACAGGTTGATGTAGAAAACAGCTATTTGTCCTTTCCTGCCATGTCTCTATTTTTGCCCAAGTGGTTCATATCAGGCGGTGTTTCTTTCTGGGAGCCTGTTTTATTATCTTCACTATGAGACAAGACCTGCCAAGGTAACATACACACTATAAAGCAGAGCCTCTGGCCAGCACCCTTCCCTAAAGGCAGAGGCTAGGCCCCAGTTATTTTTGTAGGCCAATGTCACACACATAGTTTTATATGCATTACAGTTCACTTATTCTGAATATAAAAAATGTTTTTCTTTCACTTCAGATATCTGAAATACTCTGTGGTAGGCAGTTAGACAGACATGAGCAGGGCAAGGATGATGGGCCAGGTAGAGGAGGCCACCAGGGTGAAAAGCTGCAGGTACCCAGCAAGGGGCAAAACTGGGAAAACGAGGACCTCACCCCCAGGGTGACCTTTCCTCCCCTAGCATATCGCTGGTCATACAGTTTGGACTAGCAGTCGCCAATCAGTAGTCCACGGGCCACTGGGGATCCATGAGGTCCGAAAGGTTGGCGACCGCTGGTCTGGACCATCCCATGACCTTTTCTCCCCTGAGAGGAGGAACAAGAGTTCAAAGAGTGGCCTCATGGGACTCCCATTTGGTCCCTTGCACAAACCACTCCCTTAAGCATTAACCCTGAGGGATAACATCTAGGCCTCAGCTGTGTTTCAGCTCCAGGCCCAGAAAAGTAGCAAAACCAGACAAGCAATGCCATGGCTGACCTCAGGTCCAGGTGCATTGACTAATGACCCACTTACCTTGTGCTGACCAAGCAGTGGAGACCACAACTCTGAAAGGAAACACCTAGAAAGCTGATGAATATTCTGTTGGGATTCTCCCCTGAGACTTCCAGATACAAACCCTCAAGACTGGAGGACCCAGTGGGACAATCACTCTTGAGAGCATGAGCTTGCCTTTCTCCTTTTCCTCTTCTTCCCACCCCCAGGTGTGTTACCTTTACCTTCCTCTCTCCTAAGCTCGAAGGGCCCTTCTTTTGCCTCTGTAACTTGTTTCCTGCGCCCATTTCTTCTCCCACTCACTTCTTCTAACTCTGTGACTTTCTAAATAAATTTTCTCTTATAGTTTGAGTTTGGGATCTGAATTCTTTCTTAGCCAGAACTCAAGTACCGAGGTTGCTGAACCAAGATCCAGTCTGACTCCACCGGTCTAACACCTGGTACTGTTTAGCCACCAACAACTCCATTTGAATCATGCCTGAATTTAACCTTTCAACCCACCTCTACCTACCTCCCTTACCACTCTCTTTCTCCATTACAAGATTCCACCCAGTGTAAATAACTAGGCAGAAATTTTCTTTCTTTTAGGCTGAGTGACATTAAAAATGAAGGCTACAATAGCAAAGACTATTGTGTCTGGCTAAGGCAATGACAGCCACCAAGCCTTTGAACATCCTTATCATTGTTGCTCCTTATAACAGCCCTGCTAGAGAGCAGAATATCACTAAATCCATTCCAAAGTAAGAAAACTGAAACTCTACATGTATAATTATTCACTGAATTCACAGAAGTAACTGGCAATGGTCTGGGAACCTTGGAATCCTTTCTCTCTCTCTCTCTCTCTCTCTCCTAGACTCCTTTCTCTCTCTCTCTCTCTCTCTCTCTCTCTCTCTCTCTCTCTCTCTCCTCGTCAAAAATTCTCAAAAAGAGCTATCGCTATCCTTCTTCTCCCTGACCAACCCAGCCCACACTGTTCTACAAGCCACTCTGTCATAGAAACTCCTTATCCAGGCCCATAGTCTAAGGTGCTAAAATTCAATGGCCAGTTCTCTGTCCTCTTCACTGTTTTCTCAGCAGCATTTGAACCAGGTGTTGACTGACTGAAACACTCCTCTCTTGGCTTCCTAGTAGACACTCTCCTGTTTGTATCTCTGCCTCACTGGCTATCTCTTCTTTCTCCTTTGCTAGTTTCTCCCACTAGTACATGTTGAACTGGCCTAAGTTTCAGTTTTCAGAACTCTATCTACTCTCACTCAGAAGTGAGCTCATCCAGCCACATATATTTATATTCCTTTCGATGCCAATAATTTCCAAATGGGAATCTCCCTCCTGACCTTTGCATAAGCTTCAGACCCATATACCAAACTCAATAATTAATCTTTCCTCATGCCACATCAAGTGTTTTATGGAAAATCCTCTTAAACAGTATGATGAGTGACTGGTAGAAATTTTTAAAAATTGAAAATTCTCTGGGTGAAGCAGGGAATAAAAATAAAAAAACACCCACATTCCTTAAATATTTTATTTTATTTAAAACACAAAGGTTCATTCATTAGTCAATCTTTTCATATGAGACTAAAGTCTTTTCTTTGAATGCGGGCCCACAAATAAATGTTCCATGTCATCTTTCTTGTATAATCTACAACACACTGAATTGTCCTATGATTTCAAGTTTCATTTTATCTAACAGAGAACAAGCACATAAGGACACTAACATGCATTCTGAATGCAGAATGCCTCTAGATTTTTATGACTTTTTTCAACCTTTTACAGCTGGCTTGCTCATATTTAATTCTATAGCATTTTCTTTATAAACCAACTCTATTTTTTCAAGTTAGTTTTCAAACAAACAACTCTCTTAGTTTTTAAAAAAAATAACGATTTTAAACTCAATATTCATTGGTGTATATGAGACAATGAGTTATGCAATTACAATGGTAAAAATAATGAGCATAATGAGGCCCTAGATGACATATAATTCAATTGGAAGGAGTAAAGAAACATGGCACCCTAAAAGATGATCTATTAGCTTGGGTATTTAGGGTACTGCTGACATCAGGTAACATATTTTATGGTGAAAATGGAAAGCACTGGTATTCCAAGTCCATTAAGGGGATATGGGCTAAGAAAGTTCTTGATTTCCACTTCCCACTCTATCATTATGAAGCCATACCTTCCCCAGCCCTCCTCACGCTAGTAAATGACAACACTCAACTGCTAAAGCTAAAAGCTTTAATTTCTCTCTCTTCCTTACCAATATCTAAGGCATCAATAATTCCTGTCTTTCCAGTAACTCTCAAAATATACCTTAAATATATTCACCTCTTTCCATCTCCATCCCCTTTGCCCAGAGTCCAAGTTGTCATCATCTCCCAGCTGATATCTACCTTGCCATGATCTACTGGATTTTAAAGGAGCTAGCACATACCTTCCTCTCCAGCTTCATCTCACCACTCGCCCCTGCCTACCCTGCTTTAGGCACACTGACCCTCTTCCCCATTCCTCTAACATGCCAAATCCCACCAGGGCCACTGCACATGCAGTTCATTCTGCCTGGATGACTATTCCACTGACTCTGCATAAGCTTACTTCATATTTTTCAGATGTCACCTCAAACGTTATACACCCTCAGAGAGATCTCTATCAATCATTCTAGCTGAAGAACTTGTTCTTTGAGACTTACTTCCATCTCTGACATCTAAGCTACTCCGTATCACACTATAATGAGTAGCCATCGAGGAGTTAAAAGAAGAGATGCAATGTTATCTCATCCACATTTACAAAGTTCTCTTGGGCTCCGGTGTGGAGAATGCATTGAAAGGGGAGACAAGAATAGAAGTAGGCAAGTTATGATTGGCTGAGAAGAAGTATAGAGGAACCAGAATTTTCTACTAGCTGGATAGGTGCATGGGTTATATGGGTGTATACATTTCTAGAAATGATTAAATTGCTCATTGTATGCAAATTTTATCACACGTTTTTAAAAGAACAAAAGTCCTAAATTTTCTCACTCGGACAGCACAGGGGATGCAAAAAAAACAAGAAACAGAACCACACTGTTATCCACTTTCACCAAGATCTACTTATTAAAATGTTCATTTTCCTCCTAAATTCCTACTTTTCTCTAGCAAAAAGAATAAAAAGATTTGAACCAAATTTTTTATTAATTGTCCAATGTGGAAACACACTGGGAAAACATCTGTCACTATGAAAGATGATTTATTATGCATATATATATATGTGTGTGTGTGTGTGTGTGTGTGTGTAAATCACATAAAACTATGACAGAAAGCATGAACCAGTATTAATAAGATGCCAAAGCACATCAAATGACTGTGATGTGAGACACCCATCACGAACTATGTGCTAATGAACCCCCCAGCCATAGACTGACCAAGAATGTTGTGGTTTTCAACTTCCAAACACCTAAGAAATGCCACACATGGACTCATGATGGTACACAAATGCATGAAATGCAAACAAAGAATGTGTAACAATGAGAAACAGAAACCTGCAATTAGAATGTATACAAAACCCTACATGAACCCAACATATACATTTCTTTGTAACATACTCTACCCCCCGAACAGCCATGTTAAGAGTCACTATCTAAAGCTGCAAGGCCCAAATCAGTAGCCATCAGCCACATATAGCTATTGAACACTTAAAATGCAGTAAGGGCAAATAAGATATTGAATTTTTAATTTTATTAAATTTTAATTTTAAAATATACTCAGTTATATTATGGGAAAGTTTTAAGTGTGTTTGGAATAACTTGTTATGTAAACTACTTTTTCAACATTGTATTTTAATTTGTATTTCAATTATGAAATACAAATACAGACCAAATATTTACAATGAAAATTCAGTGTCATAATTAAGATGTGATAGAAGAGTAAAATACACACCAGCTTAGAAGACTTAAAAAAAAAAAGTTTAATAGCTCACTAATAATTTTTTCATTGGTTACATTTTTAAGTGATATTTTGGATTCACTGGTTTAAATAAATTATTAAAATTCATTCCACCTGCCTATTTTTACTTTTTTAATGTAACTATTGGAAAATTTAAAAGGATGTATGTGGCATGCATAATATTTTTACTGGATCATACTACTTTAAAGCTTATATATCTAAATGCAAATTAAATATATCATTATGATACATTAATAATTAATATTTCAAATACCTCCTGACCTTTTCATTTGATTGTCTTCTTTTCTTTAGTTGAATGAAATCTGTTTCCACCCTTTCTGCCAGCTCTAGTTTCCTCTTGTTTCTTTTAAATGCAGCTAAACTGAATCCTATAAAAGAAACATTAAAAATGACATTTGATAAATATTAGGGCAATGAGGCAGATGCCATATCCTGCAGAGCCTTTTCAGGACAAATCCTTAAGAATGTTGGATAAAAGGTTAAAAGAGTCTTTTCAATGCATGCTAAAGTGGTAGGAAAATAAGACAAATACCCTTAGGTTAAAGAAGAAAAAAGTCAAATCCAGAGACACAAGTCCTGAGGGTATATAGTAGTATATGCTACCCAGAGGTATCTGCCAATGCATACCACCACCCACTTTGGTTTTGAAGGTCTCTGTGCATAAAGGACAAGAGATGAAACCTGGGGACAGTGCAGCTCAAGGAAACATATTGGAGATTATCCACACAAAAAAGAAACAAACCCCAAAAGGTGCTATGCCCAGTAAAAGGGAAAATCAGAAAAGGCCACCATATGCAAAGAAACAGGAAACTTGCAAGTCTCAGCCTTAGATGTATATGTAAGCGAGGAAAAGTCTCTCTAGATAATTCATGACCAAGGGCTTTCAGATAGGTTTAGAGAATAATTCATTTTAGTGACCTCAAATTTAAAAAAAAAAACACCTCAAAAATTATCTCAATGTGCTAGTGCCTCAACAACCCCTAAAATTCAAATGCAAATACTCCCTGGAAAAAAAAACTTTAACTTACCACACTTCAGAGAATTCCTACGTTTCAATTAACATGAGCCCATAATTTAAAATAATTCACAAAACACATGAGAAATAAACCATCAAGAATAAAACTTTGCCAAATATCAGCAAGCATAATTCAATTTAAACCTACAAAGACCTCAGATACTGAAATAATCAAATACAGACTATAAAACATGTTTATGCTCATGGAAAGAAAGGGATGATACCGAGAATATAACTAAGGAACAAACGATGATAAAGTGATCAGGAAGACTTAAGAAGAACCAAATAGAGCTTCCAAAAGCAAAAAATAATAATAATTAAAAATGTAAAATAGATATAAACAGCCAATTAGATTCAACTGATAAATGAGAAATTACAAAGTAGACTATAACAATGAAGATATTACCAACATTTTCTGATAATGGCATCAAGGAGAGATGTAAATCAAACCCAGAGCCCATTAAAAGTGGGAGTTCTCTCACTAAAAGTGGAGGAACTTCCAAGTGTGGGAAACTGGGGATTGGAAGGGTTGGCCAGAACTAAGTTGTCCAGAACTATGCAACTCTGCACTTACTCTCTATCCCAATACCAAGTAGTCTTAGATTATGGCATGACAGGAGGGGGGGGGGAGGTAGAAAGAGGAGGGGGAAAAAGGGGGATGGGGAATATTGGAAAGAAATTTTGGGTTGACTGGGTCCTTTGTATAGATTTGCAAACATGTGACTTGGGTAGGTCAGGGAATAATAAACTTTTAACTAAGTTTAAGTAGATTCTGATTAATAGTGTGTAAAATACATGGTCTTTGTCCTGATTCCTGGCACAGAGCCCTTAAAACCTTCATAATTTCCTAGGTGATAAGAGCACTATGATCACCTTTTATCCTAACATTGGGTCTTTGACCCCAGTTCCTGAAAGTTCCTAACTCTCTTGGAATTTCCAGGAGGATATGTCTTTTGGTCTGATGAGGCAACTCTTGGTGGGCTTCTGAATAGCTTCAGGATGGGAATGGGTCACCAGAAAGACAAAGCCATGATTAAAAGCTTGGAACTTTCATCCAGCCTTATCCCATTCTCGGGGAAGAAGATAGGGACTGGCTATTGAGTTAATGAACAATCATGCCTACACGATGAAACCTCCATAAAAATCCCTCAAGGACAAAGCCTGGAGAGCTTCCAGGTGACTGAATACATCTATGTGTTGGGAAGGTGTACACGCCAACTCCACAAGGACAGAAGGTCCTGCACTCAGGACCCTTCCAGACCTTGTCGTATGTATCTATCTCTAATTCTGGCAGTTCATTCATATCCTCCAATATGCTTTGTAATAAACTGGTAATCTAGTAAGTAAACTGTTTTCCAGAGTTTTCTGAGCCACTCTAGCAAATTAATCAAACCCCAAAAAGGGGGCCATGGGAACTTCTAACATATAGCCAGTCAGTTGGAAGCACAGGTGACAACCCGGGCTTGCGATTGGCATCTAAAGGGGAAGTGCAATCTTATGGGACCAAGCCCTTAACCTGTGGGGTTTGTACTAACTACAGTTAATGTCAGAATTAAATTGAATTGCAGGAAACCCGGATGGTACAGAGAATTGGTTGGTGTAGAAAACCCCCACATGTTATGTCAGAAGTGATATAGGGAGTTGTGAGTGTGACAGTAGGCAAGTAAAAGAGGAAAAAATAGTGTTTTTTCCATTCACAGTGCACATACAGTTGGCAAAAGTAAAAGCAAAAAATAACATCTGGAAAAAGACACCTTCATCCTAGGCCAGTGATGGCGAACCTTTTGAGCTCAGCATGTCAGCATTTTGAAAAACTCTAACTTAACTCTGGTCCCGTGTCACATATAGAAATTTTTTGATATTTGCAACCATAGTAAAACAAAGACTTATATTTCTGATATTTATTTTATATATAGCCATTTAACAAAGAAAAATCAACCAAAAAAATGAGTTCGCGTGTCATAGGTTCGCCATCACCGTCCTAGGCCATGGGTGAGTCTACACAAATAATTATTTAAGGGCAATAAAACCATATAGTCAAAGATAATCAGCAGCCATGGAAATGAGGCACCATGAATAATAAGAAGAAAAAATGCCAATGTGTACCACATATAATGGAATTATCAGGCACAATATAAAACAAGTGTCCTTATAATGATTAAAGAGTAAACAAAAAACATGAATACATCTATATTTCATACTATAAAGTAAATTAAATTACAGATTCTTAAAAAAATAGAACTTCTAGAAATAAAAAGCAGATAACCAAATTTAAAACCTCAATGTATGTGCTTGGTAGTTGACAGGATAGAAAAAAAGAAATTAGTGAATTAAAAGCCTGAGGAGAAAAAGGTTATCCAGAATGTGCCTAGAAAGATAAAATGAGGAAAACACAGAAGATTAAAAAACAGGGTAGATAATGTAAAAGGGTCTATTATATATTTAACTAGAGGTCCGGTGCACAAAGTCATGCATGGATGGGGTTCCTCAGCCTGGCTGGTAATCAGGGCTGATGGGACTGTCTCGCCCACTCCCAATCAGGCCAATTGGGGCCAGCCGGCCAAGGGGAGGGACCGCGGGAAGTTGGCTGGCTGCAGGAGGTTGGTTGTGGGAGCCCACTGACCACCAGGGGGCACCTCCTGCATTGACTGTCTGCCCCCTGGTGGTCAGTGAGTATCATAGCGACTGGTTGACCGAACAGTCACTTAGGCTTTTATACATACAGATCAGAATTTCAGAGGTGAAGATAAAAGAATGGAAAATGGCTACAGGGTTCCCTAGAGTAGAGTGAGGAAAACAACAGCAAAAATGCTAACAGAGTTTTGGTAAATGCTCACGTAGGAGAGACAAAGTTTAAAGTTTGAGACTTTCCATGGAAACCTCAGAAAGGCCTATACATATATCTTAGGAATAAATAAATAAATACCCATGGACACAGACAATAATGTGGTGAAGGCCTAAGGGATGGATTGTGGGAGGGGGGTAAGATGGTAGAGGGGGCCAATGGGGAAAATAAGGGGGATATATGTAATACTTTCAACAATAAAGATAAATTTTTAAAATAAGGGTAAAATAAATAAAAACCTGGAAAGAAAAAAGAAAACAAGTCTAGGATTAAGAACAAAACTAAAATAGACTCAGTTTAACAAAGCCTAAAACCAGGCTGTGACAACATCAAGGTTATCTGCAAATAATTTAATTACATGCTAGGATAAAACTCAACATCATTCAAAGGAAGATAACAAATCCATAGTCTCTAAAATGTATCACCCACAATGCCTGAGTTGCAATATAAACAATTATGAGATTTGCAACTAAATAGGAAGATGTGATCCAGAGTCAAGGCGGGGGGGGGAATCTATCAATGGAAATTGACCCACAGGAGATTTGACTTTGGGTGGGTGGTGGACACAAAGTACAATGCACAGATCTTGTAACATAGAAACCCACACCTGAAACCTATATGTTCATGTTGACCAATGTCACCCCAACAAATTTAATTTAAAAAAAAATAAATTGACCCAGATGACCTAGATTTTAGAATTAGTAGTCAAGGATTTTAAAATAACAATAACAAATATGTTAACAATGAGTATAATGAGTGAAGACATGGGAAATTCAAAAGAGAGATGGAAATTATTTTTTAAAAATGGAACTTTATAACTGAAAGCTATAAATATTTCATATTTTTAAAATCATTACATAAGATTAATATTAGATACTGATGAAGAAAAGATTAGTGAACTTTAAGACAATTCAACAGAATTCATACAAATGAAAGTGTAATGGTTAATTTTCTATCAACTTGATGGGCAGCAGGTACCCAGATATTTGGTCAAATATTATTGTAGATATGTCTGTAAAGGTGTGTTTGATGAGGGTGAGATTAACATTTAAATTTGGTAGCCTGAGTAAAGCAGATTGCCCTACCTCAGTGGTCAGCAAACTCATTAGTCAACAGAGCCAAACATCAACAGTACAACGATTGAAATTTCTTTTGAGAGCCAAATTTTTTAAACTTAAACTATATAGGTAGGTACACTGTTATTAACTTAATTAGGGTACTCCTAAGGCTTAGGAAGAGCCACACTCAAGGGGCCAAAGAGCTGCATGTGGCTCTCGAGCCGCAGTTTGCCAACCACGGCCCTACCTAATGTAGGTGGACCTTATCCAATCAGCTGAAAGCATTCATAGAACTAAAATGTACACTCTCCCTTAAGTAAGAGAGAATTCCTTTTGCCTGACTACCTTCATACTGGAACATGGACTTTTTTTTGCCTCTGTCCTTGAGCTAAAACATCAGCTTTTCCTGGTCTCAACCCACCAGCCTTCATCCTAGAACTATATAACTGG